GCTCGCCAGTGCTATAACCACATCAGTGGTTGGCAGGCGCCCGACATTGGTAGAGCCTCATCAGTGGCGAGCGGTGGAATTTGCTCGCCAGTACTAGAATATAGGCAGTGGCGGGCTGTAGCGCGTGCCTGCCACTACCTTGTTGCAGTGGTGTGCTTACTGGAGCGCCCGCCATTGAAAGGTTAGGCATGCTAAATAAAAGATTTGCAGCCACGGCAACAATTGTGCTGACATGGCTGCGTTTTGCATAAAACCAATTGAAGAAATTCAATATAAACAACAAGCATTTTATCATTATGCATGAATGTACACACTACATAATTAGTAGTTTAGGCCTTGTTTGATAGCAAAGTATTAGAAAAAACAAAGTATCAAAAACTACAGTAATCTTGTCTGTAGGTACAAAATACCATGGTTTTGATATAACAAAGTTTGGTTAGGCCACATAATGCTGTAAAGTTTACTAGCTAGCCGTTGCTTTTGGTGGTGCAAACTCTATTTCTGTTGCATTCTATATGGGATAGCTATGGATTCGCATTAGGGAACAGGCAATACCGGGGATTGGCGTGATTCATCTATCTAGCTTGTTAAGTCTTTTGCCTCATTGTACTATTATTGCAGAAGAAGAGTAACTAACCTTCCGAAGATACGAATGTGAACTCGAATCATCTTTAGAGAGATGACACACAATCCTCAACCTTATCCCAGAAGGCTTAGTAATTCACTAGCACTCGATTAGCATCTGGGTTTTGCTAGGACGCATGGAAGAGTTCAACATTATATACATTACCGTTCAAAGGATGTACTTTGGCGGTAACATCTATAGTGTTGCTCATAGAATAAGAACATCAGATGAAGGTTGTGTACCGTTTTAACAAAATGAGCCAAAGGACTCAAAAAACTAACATGATGAATCAGATAGATGAGGTATTAAACACTCACTCACCTGATTCACTACTTGTGAGGGAACAACTAGCCTGTCTTTCGCAAACACCAAGCAAATATTTTCCTCCCACACAAACATTGTTCCCATGCGACAGCCGCAAGTTCATGTTGTGTCTTTGCCTTCTCATTTGCAGGGAGCAACTTGTATTTATCCTGCCCAAGTGCCTTGTGTATGATGACCTGTTTGCCATAGTGGGCGCCTCATCTCGGCTAGACGTCGTATTCGGTGGTCCGCCAAGGCAACAAAAACACATCACAGGGCCGAGGAAAGGTAACGTCGTGAAGGGGTGTGGTTGGTGCCTCGTCTCAGCTAGATGTCGTATTACATGAGATTGAGGTCATTACAGTTCGACGAGGTTGGCGGCCTTGGCTGCACTACTCTCGCCGGCATAGGCAACACCTAGGCGATTCTGATCTCCCAGACTTACATGATGCTGGGAGGCATCGTCCCTCCTGATGGAGTGGATGGCCAGTGCACACGAGCTATTCGACATAATATGTGAGAGAGAGTCTAGTCAACTTGTCTGTGGCAGTTTTTCTTTGCCAATTCAGCCCGATAGGTGGGCCCAACCGATCAGTTGTGTTGTTAGTCTTGGGCTCCTGGCTCATTTCCAGTTCAATATGATTTGGCGGTTCTGAGCAGTTTACTTGTGTGTGTTACCCAAGACACATATTTGGCGCTGCCCGTGTTGCCACCCCGCCTCGCCACCGCCTCGCGCTGCCCTCGCCGAAAGCCGTCACGAGTGTCACTAACTGGCGGGCCATAGGCCATTATCTACTTTTGTTTAATACAAATAAAATAATTATAGATTTAGGGCAAAAGATTATGCGATGTAACAAAGGTAGCTCTCACTAAACTTCTCTAAAGTTACAGACATCCTATAAAACTAATTTTACGGGAAGGTTTTTAGGGGAACTGTTGGAGTTGCTACGCGTTTTTTGGAGGTTTGTGTCACTACTTAAAAAGAAAGTAAGGTTTCATGTTTCACTTTTCTTCTCAGTATTCCTTCATCCAATCTTTCCTATATGATAATTAATCATCGTAATTTATTTACTCCTACTGAACCAATTCTACTTTAGTTTGATTATCAAACTTCTGATCGGAATATAAGATAAAACCACATGCAGAATCTAGTAAACATTTATTTACACAATCGCATTAATATAGGCAGGTAAACCACAAAGCTAACGTACTAGAATACTTATATCCTGCTAGAACGAATGGGCATTGTCCTAGTACTACTTAACAAAACTTAAAAAGAATGTAATGTTACATGTTTAACTTTTCTTTTCTTTTTTCCTTACTTGTTTTGCGGAAGATGTTTAACTTTTCTTCGCTCCACCTCTTCGTCAAATATTTCCCGTATGATAGTCAATCACCTTAATTTACTTACCTTGTGAACCAATTTCACTTTAAGTTACTTACCAAACTTCTCATCAAACTATAAGGTAAATCACGAACATGATTTAATAAACATTTATGTACACAATTGCATTAATATGGACAAATCATCACAAGCTAGTAACATACTAAAATATGTATATCCCGTTACAATGCGTATATCCCGTTACAATGCACAAGCATTGTCCTAGTTTAACGGGGGAGAAGTCCATCCAAAAAATCTTTATTCCTAAAAGTGGGCCAAAAGTTGGTATGAATAAGATCAAGGCTCGGTGGTGGACTGGTGGGTGCGATGGCCGTCAAAGCAGGTCTGGTGGCGGGATTTGAGGCGTATATTCTCCCACTCTCATCAGATCAGACAGGTGGACCGAATGCGACTGTGGTTTCCATCTTTATTCATTCAGTCCACTAAAATAACATAAAATAAAACAACACCTAGTCACTGCCAAGTCCTCATCGCACAATCAAATATTTTACCAAAAGTGGCAGCCTTTAACTGACGTACGTATAGCGCTGGCGGACGTCTCCACTGTCCATTCGGCGGAACCAATCGAGATCTTGTTTGCCGTCCATTTCCCCTCCGCGCGCGGATCCTCACGGAGACGAGATTGACGTGGGCATTGCCGCCGTGATTATAGCTGTAATCGCCGACTGGTTCTGGTCTGGTCGCCGGCCCGCCGCCATGAGGGTGAGATCATAGCTGACAAACCCTTGCTTATCTGTAGCCGTTGCCTCTAGGTAGAAGATACTGATTTGCAGTCCTCGGTCGTCCGTTGCTCATGCCGTTTCGTTCTCTTGATTGATTGAGGATTGCAGCAAAAGATCGTGGTGAAGGTCGAGTTGAAGGACGGCAGAGAGAAGTCGAAAGCGTTGGCAGCAGTCGCCGTTCTCCCTGGTGAGTATTACTACTACTACCTTTTAGAGGTATAACTGCTCTTTCCAAATTTGATGGTGAATTCGTTTCTGACGTGAGCAACAACGGGCCTCAGGGGTCGAGTCGATTTCTTTGGAAATTCATGGGAATATCATGGTCATTGGGGACGGCGTAGACATCCACCACGCCGTGGGAAAGCTGCGAGGGTTGTTCGGGAACGCTTTTCTCCGCTCCGTCGAGGAGATCAAGAAAGACGATAGTCCGTACGAGTTTACATTCGGGCACTTAAACCATATCACGAATAATTTCTCGGAGGAGCGCATCATTGGTCGTGGTCGGCGTGGATTGGTTTACAAGGTACTCCTATGAATACTATTATTACTTGTCTCCATCTTGCACTACTCTGGCATAATCTTCCTTACCAAAATATTAATACTCGGGCATATAAGTTCCTATCTTCAGGAATTTTTTTGTGCAACAAACCTGGTACGAGTTGTAGGCACAAATCAGGATCTCCTCCAAGAGAACGAATTAGAACAAATATTAATCATCTTGATACATTAATTTCTAATCATCCATAGTATTAAATGCTTAATTAACCTCTCCCCGCAAAAAATTTTTTGCTTAATCAACAATACAGTATGTTAACATATAGTGACTTAATAGATATGTTTTGACAGGGAGTACAAGACAATGGGGAATACGTTGCTGTGAAGAAGCTTAATCTCATGCCAGGGCTTGACGACGAGGAATTTAAAAATGAGTTTGATAATCTTAAGATGGTCCAACATGAAAATACCATACGGTTAGTTGGTTACTGCCATCATACAGCACAAGTGCTTGCTGAGCACAATGGAAAACATGTTTCTGCTAGAGTGAAAGAAAGATATCTATGCTCCGAATACTTGCAGGGAGGAAGCCTTGACAAGCATCTTTCTAGTATGAATATGCTCTACTTACACTATCATTTTTGCATGTAGGCAATAATCCCTATGCTTTACATCATGGTAATACACATTTTATTGTTTACTTCTATAGATGAACCATGTGCTCTTGTTTGGCATACATGTTACAAAATAATTAAGGGACTGTGTGAGGGTTTACATTACCTTCACAAAGGATTCAAGTATCCTATTTGTCATCTGGAATTGAACCCTACAAAAGTTGAGGAACAAGGTACATCAATGAACAAACCATGAGAAGTAATCAAATTCTTGTATGGAATTTTTGTGAGGATAAATTATTTTTGTACTATGCAGAGTATACATGGCGCCAGAATACATCAGTAAACGGCTAATCACACAAAAGTTTGATGTATTCAGTCTGGGCATTATAATCTTGCAAATCATGGCAGGAAAGGAGAGCTACACCAAATGTATAGATACTTCTCCCGAAGTATTTATTGAGCTTGTAAGAAAAAACTCTATATTATGAAATGTAATACTTTCACTAATATTAGGTTGTACCAGGCATGCATGCCAAGGAATTATGTTTCAATTCTGCAGGTATATAAATACTGGGTAAACAGGATGCAGCGCACAATACCGAAGCATACTTCACGTGAAGTTAGAACATGCATCGAAATAGCTCTAAAATGTGTGGAGTCCAGTCGAGAAAAGAGGCCTACTATAAAGGAGATCATACAGACACTGAATAAGATTGATATCGTCGAGTGCTCATCTATAGGTCAGCTACATAGAACAAAGGAGTTTCCATTCGAGTTCTTAGAAAATATTACAAAGGGGTTTTCTGAGCAGAACATAGTTGGCCGTGGTGGATATGGAGTTATTTACAAGGTATGGTTATTACTTCATCTGCTAACTTACAAATGAACCCTACCGTTAACTACAAGAATGATGTGCCATAAAGACTGAGATTTTTAACAGGGAATGCTCGACAATGGAGAAGAGGTTGCTGTTAAGAAACTTCATCAAATGTTGTGGATTGATGATGAACAATTTAAGAATGAGCTTAATAATCTAATGATGGTCCAACACAAAAATATTGTACGGTTAGTTGGGTACTGCTACCATACATCACAGATAGTTGTTGAGTACAAGGGAAATCATGTTTCTGCTAGTGTGGTAGAAAGAGCAATTTGTTTGGAATACGTGCAGGGTGGAAGCCTTGACAATCAACTTTCCGGTATGATTCTGCTCTACTTGCACTAAATTATATTTGAATTCCCTACAACATAAAGTGTGAGTCTG